TAATGGTTGAGTCTTGGTATAATTGTAATGAAAAATCGTATTTATCAAATTAGATAGGAATTAAATTTATAGTAAACAAATCATAATATAACATGTGTGCATAAAACCTATCACAATAAAAGGGTGATTTTAATCCCAATACGTGATATTGATGGCAACTTTTGATTTCAAATAGAATTCTAATCAATAAAAAAATTATCTCACATTTATTCCTTAGATAGACGTAGCTATCCTTATCCAAATTATATTTGATTTAAAAAAGAAAAAAATTACAATTTCTTTGAACTTCAATATTTTGAGACTAACTTATCCGAATTAACTTTTTTCTCGAGCATAATTTACATGATTAATTACAAGCTTGGTAACATCATCATCTGGAGTATCTGCATCTCTTTTACCTGGAGGTCGAACAACTCATTCAAGATTCAAAACTTTTGGTGAAGTAAGTTGTTCTGTTAGCAAGCAATCAGCTTTAGGAACTTTGTTGAAAATGTCTAGATTAATCATTTGGGATAAAGCACCTATGGTTAATCGTTGTGCTGTAGAGGCTGTAGATAAAATGCTTAGAGATATTACTGAATGTACCTAGCCTTTTGGTGGAAAAGTAGTCGTTCTTGGAGGAGATTTTCGACAGGTTTTACCAGTTGTACCGAAAGGAAAAAATAGATAAAATGCTTAGAGATATTACTGATTGTGATTTGCTCTTTGGTGGGACAAATTTTACCAGTTGTGCGAAAAGGGAAAAATACGATATAATGAAAGCTAGCTTAGTATTTTCAGACTTATGGCCTTCCTTTTTGCATCTACCATTAATTGAAAATATGAGGGCTAAATTGGATCCCACCTTCTATAGTTACTTGCTGAGGATTGGAGATGGAATAGAGGAAGAACATACTTGTAAATGCATTAAACTTCCAGAGAATATAATTTTACCTTTTGTAAATGAAATCACATCCTTAAAAAACTTGATGGCAAGTCGAGTTATTCTTACACCTACAAATGAATGTGTTGATCATATTAACAGAATTTTACTTGAACAAATTCAGGTGAAATGTATACATACTATAGTTTTGATGAAGCACTTGATAAGTCAGAACACAGCTTGCAAGAAGATTTTTTGAATAGTATAACCTCAAATGGTATTCCACCCCATGAATTGATGCTTAAGATAAACTGTCCTGTGATATTATTACGAATATCAATCCTTCAGAAGGATTATGCAACGGGACACGCCTTACTTGTCGAAAGTTTGAAAAGAATGTAATTCTGGCGGAAATCACAACTGGTGAATATTGTGGAAAATATGTTTTCTTGCCAAGGATCCTTTTTATACCTCTAAAAAGCGATCAAAATTCAATTCAATTCAAAAGAACTCAATTCCCAATTAGGTCATGCTTCACAATGACGATAAACAAAGCATAAGGTCAAACACTTGATTTTGTTGGTTTGTATCTTCCCCAACCAGTTTTCTGTCATGGTCAACTCTATGTAGCATTATCAAGAGCAAAAAAAGCGAATCTATCAAAGTCCTACTTAAACCCATAAATGTTGACCATTTACACGAAAGATGTACCACAAATGTTGTCTACAAGGAAATCATTTCATTAATACACAGGTAAAACAAAGCAATTATACTGAAGGGGAATGAGGTGAAAATGAAGTTTTTTTTGTGGTATACTTGTATGAGCTCAAACAGGAAATGGGAGAAGATATTTGGCTATATTGTAGAGCCAAGTTCAAGAAGAGAAATCGGAAAGGACACACGATTGCTGTAAATCATTCAAAACCAGAGGTTTTAGTTTTTCTCCCTTTGTTTTTAAAATTTCCTGACATTTGTAATGTAATTCATTATAGTAATTATTCTGTAATTGATGTATGCAACTTTTTTGCTTCTTTTGAAGAAACTTCATGGATTTTCGACATCTGAATTGTGGGAAAATAGATCAAATTTTAGTGATTTTAATCATTTCATCAATATTTTAGGCAGCAACTTCAATGTCTATTACTATTGAATTCAATTTTACAATTTCGTTACTTGAATTTAAATTTATACATTTTATAAGTGTCACTAGAGTTTTATGACTTTTATTCATCAATTTTATTTCACATCATACTAAAGTTAGCATTATAGTTATTTGTTAGTTGTTTAACTAATAAAATATTTTCTATTTCATTCAGATCAATTATATTGTCTGATGGACTTTCTGGAAAGATTTTGCAATGAAGACCTTGGTTTTATTAATACATTCTTATTCTGGGACTCAGCTGACAATGGTTGTGGCCATAGGTACAACACTGACTCAACTGGCAATGGGAACCCGTACAGAAATGTGGAAACTTCTGGTGGTCATCGGACATGTGGTGATGCTGATACCAGGAAACTTTTTGAAAGGCGTGGTGACTATGGCCGATCTTATAGTCCTTATGGTGGTGGTTGCCAAGGTGGTTCCAGCAATGGAGAATTTGACTTTTGTCTAAAACGCTAATATCACCTTCAAAATACCACTACCCGTGCATTGCACGGATTAAGACTAGTATATATATATATAAAGGAAGAAACATGCGCAGTTTCATATTAAAAATAAATAAATAATAGAAAACCTACAATGACTGGAGAGTTAAAATTTTTCTCTCTGTCTTTGTTTGCAAGATTGACCTATTTGTTTCAAATCTCATAATCTTTGCGTATAAACAGGTTGATTCGAGTTTTAAAGTCCAACTTACCATCAAGGATATGAGGTCTTTTCAAAATCAAATTAGTTAATAATAATAATAATAAATTCAAATTCAAATTCAAAATTTATTAAAACATTTTCTTGAAAAATAAATAAATCTTGAAAGAGCGTTTGTAGACATAAAAAAAATGGAACAATTAATGAATTTGGTCGCTTTAAATAATTAGTCCAATTAAATTTAAATAATTGGTCCATAAAATTCGAAGGCTCATCCCACCTTTTCAAAATTCATAATTATTCAAGTATTCTTTTTAATTAAACATAATTGAATTGTCACCAAATTGGTTACGAACTTATTTATAAATAGGATCAAAGGTACATAAAATTTGACAAGTGAAGACTGTAGGAGAAAATCACAAATGTAGAAGAAATTTCAAAGCTAGAGGAAGGAGAGAAATCCTCTGAAGCCTAAGTTAGGCAAACACCAAGAAGATCAAAGTCTTCTTCAAATCAAGCAAGTCCAAGAAGATCAAAATCTTTTTCAAATCAAATCCAATTCAAGTCAAGTTCCGAAGTGCAAATTCAAGCCCCGAAATCCAAGTGTCAAACAAGCGAAGTTTTCAATAAATCTCGAAATCCAGGATTCAAGTCACGTGGTCCTCTCGTCTTCAAGCATTCAGATCATTAATCGGAGAATCTTGCAATTCTGCTTACATAAGAAGATCAATATCCATTTGTATTTCTTAAAAATACAATTTGTAATTTCTGCATTTAATACACGAAATTTGTCGTACACATATTAAATCCTTCAACAACAAATACATAGCCACTTATTGCATTCAACGTACTTGAAATTCAATAAAATTCATGATCTCTTTTAGTGTTCAAAAAGACTTGTGATATTCGATTTTGCAGAATTCTTCCAATTGTAGGTACACATAGATGATTATGAGCATTCGATAATAATAGCTTCAGCATCTAGGGGGTGTTTGGTAGTGATTTGAGAATTGATTCTCAAATCAATTCTCATTTTCAACTACACATTTTTCAATAAAATAATATTTTCCATCATATCAATAATTTTTTCTTCTTTTTCAACTACACATTTCCCATCATATCACTATTCAAAAATCAATTCTTCACCCAAAAATTCCTACTAAACAAGCTCCTAGTTCGTTGAGTAGTCATAGTGCCACTCTTGGCCACTCGATGGCTATTGCTAAAGGCTGAAATTTGCCTCGTCAGTGTAGCAGTAATGGCATCGACTAGAGTCTTGAGACTGCAGAATTGTTATTGAAGAGTTCGTGGCACTTTTCTTCAATTTATATTTGTGGAAGTATATTTTTTTAGATTTGCTTAGCTGTACCCAACGAGAAAAAGTTCTGATCACCCTTTTTTAGTTGGCCATTTCGTCTAATTATAGAACGAATTCTCGTGCAATATGTTGACCTAAAAAATCTGAACAACCCTTGATGTCAACAGATTCCTTGTCACCTGCTGGTGGGGTATCTAGGACCCATTTGGTATCGATTAAAATCCAATTAAAATTGAAAATATAACCGTTATTGGGCCCCACTCTTCTAATAAAAGTCAACAATAACGACTAGTTTTTCAATTTTAATCAGATTTTAATCTCTACCAAGCGGGCTCTAGATTACTTACTCAAATGTTGTCGTGGTCATATCTGATCTAATTCGATTGTCACTATAAATGCCTAGTTAATGTTCAGTCAAATAATGTGAAGCCCATCGCGCCATGTGCATGAACCCCATAAAATGTGGACGCAACATAAACGAAGGAAAAAATGACCTATATAATTTTTTCACACTTACATAATAAGTTTAAAGAATCTTCTATTTTTAAGGGTCAATTTGATAGACAATGGTGGAAAGGAATTCCAATTTCATGTTAGTTGGAAAATAAAAACTAACCAAACTCATAGGAATTTATTTTCCATGAAAACAAAGAAAATACAGTTTAAAGTGGTTGTACCTTGAAATTCGATTTCCATTTTCACGTTGCAATCAAACGACAAAAGTGGAATTCGTTTTTCTTGGATGACACATTTTCAATCAAACAGGCCAAAGAGTAATAAGGAAAGAAAAGATATTTTAACGTGACAACATCGGATCAAAATTGAAGAAGAATCATTCTTGTAGTCCGGTATAGTATTTTATATTACACTCTATTCTCGTTGAAATACAATCGCATTTGCACTTCAGTCAGATATTTCTTGAAATACCTTTTCCTCAACACATGTTCTCCCCCTTCCGTCGAATCTTCTCCCCAAGTAATGTTTTGCTCAACGATTTGATTCTACAAAAGATGAGAAGAAGATTTACTAGGATATCTTCCCTTTTTCTTGCTGTTCGTAACTGGGTCAAATTTGAGCACACAGCATCATATATCAATCAGCATATACAATTTCCGTCTAGAAATGCCACTACAATTACAAGTACTCATATTTTAAAAGCCCCTCATTTGATGCTTCCTGTCAATAATCTTTCCGTTCCCAGGCCCTTCTCAATTAACAGCGATCAAGAGGCTTCTAGTGTCAAGGAATATGAATATTTGAGCGTCATGCAGATGGTGAAAAGCTAGGAGATTGTAAAGGGATAACGGACCCGGATGCTTTAGATGATTTAGAAACAATTATGGAAATTTTACGAGCAGGTGGTGTTCAAGAGGAGTAAAAAACTGGAAAAATGGGGTTTGATGGTTACGCCGGCAATAGTATCTGACGTTCTTTCTCGGGTTCGAAATGATTGGGAAACTGCGTTTACCTTCTTTTTGTGGGCTGGAAAACAGCCCGATTATGCGCATTCCGTTAGGGAGTATCATTCAACGATCTCCATTCTTGGGAAGTTTAGGAAGTTTGATACTGCCTCGGCTTTGATCAATGACATGAGAGCAGCATCTTCACTAACTCCACACCCTTTTGATAAGGATCAGAAAATACGCAGCTGTGCACGATGTAGGCAAGGCAATCAGTACTTTCTATGCGCTTAGACGGTTTAGTCTTGCTATTCAAAAGCTGGTAACCTTAATGTGCCACGACCCGTCCCAAGTTACCCTAATAGACCTGACACGTGTCGCGCGCCGATGGTAGACACCAATTAAGTGCCGGACCCACCACCGAGGCGACTATGACCTGATCTAACTGTGACACACTTTTATAAAAAATTTGACAGAGTTTCCCCTATAATATGGACTAAAATCACCTGTACAATAATTAAAATCCTCCAACCAGAACATATAAAATTAAAGGACAATTCCACTTGTACATCAAAGTTTGTACATCAAGGGATATATCTCTCTCACATGAGAGGTGAGACCCATTGAAATAATGTTTTTTTATTCGAGTGGACCCCACCCCCCATGTGAGAGAAGTGTAAACCCCGATGTAAATCTTGATGTACCACTAGCATGGTCCAAAATTAAAACAGGATACACCAGCCCCTCAAAATTCAAACTATTCTAAAACAACACAAGAAAGTCGACAATTACAAACATTTCACATCAAAAGTCTCAAAAGTACTCAAAATACTCTATATGCAATGAGCTCATGACATGGATACATGAATTACAACTTTAACTTTCTGACAACAAAAGCATGTACCCCAAAAGAAATATGTTCAATGCAAATTGACAAAAGGAGTCATACAACTATAGACAAAATGTGGCTCTACACGGTAGATCACTAGGCTCCGATGCTGCTCAACTCAACTACTATCTGATAAGAAAAGAAATTGACAAAATATGTGAGCTTGCAACTCAATGAGTGGATAATTATAAATAAGTATATACTTTCTGAAAATCCTTACTCTTTTGAAACTTTGAGAAATTCTAAAATCTGATAATACTTTCAAAATCTTAAACATGGTAGCATCGTAACATCTGAAACATTTTGTTATTCATTACTATAAGCTGGAAACTTTATACTGAAAACTGAGA